ATTAAAATGGGATATATTGGATCAAAATATCATTTATTTTACCAATATTTCAGTTGGTTGAACGACAACCTTTATCAAGGTATTATAACATATTAATGTGTGTCAACAACAAACATCATTTTTAAACTAATTTTTAAACAAACAATTTTTAAAATATAATAATAAAAATAAATGATAAAATGTATGTTGTTTATTAATTGATAAAATGTATGCATATAATTATACATATACACCTATACATGCTAAAAGGTACAAATTCCTCAAGTTTTATCTATGGGTGTATATTGGATCAAATTCGAATATTTTCAATTTCCAAAATTTCAATTGTTAATAAGTTCAACTTCCTCAGGGATCAATATTTTTTGGAAATATTCGCTGATCTCACATCTGATAGATTTGATGCCACCTGATTGGTAGTTCGGTTAATTAGAGTTTTATTGTACATGTTTTAAATGGAGGTTAGCATTCTTCCATATTGTAGAACGAAGTTTGACAATTATACCGCAAATGTTTCTTTTGAACGAAAAATCGAAATTTATTTCAAGGAGAAACAGCGATTATTTCCAACCTTAGGGATGAAGTATGATAGGATGAATTGTGAAGAGTAATGATAAACGGAAAAATAAAAGTCGCCAGGGATGAAGAATCGAACCCACAGTGTTCCGCTTACCGGGTAGATGCCATGTCCACTAGGCTACCCTGGACATATTTTTCCGTTCGTTGAATAATATATAAAGTAATTTATATATTTGTACAATATAATACGGCTTGTGATTGTAAAACGAAAATTGCAATTATACCGCAAATGTTTCTTTTGAACGAAAAATCGAAATTTATTTTATATAAACAATTTACAGACCGTATGTTTATTTTAAAATAATTCATTTTTCTACATTGTGTCCTTACTGCAATGGTTAAAATAATAGGAGGGCCTGGCTCATCAGTGGCGAGCACTTCCAGCGGTTTCGCTTGTTTAATCTTCCAGCACAACTCCAATGGCCTCCGAATCTTGCAAAAGTCCAACCCCACCAGCGAATGCAAGTAACCAAAAGGGGACTCTGGCACATTTGTAAGTGCAAAAATCGAACTGCTTTTCACATGTGTAGACATGTGGTGTACTTACAGTAAAAGTAGTCGCCAACTTCTACCCACCATGATTATCATGCCATGTGCCCCGTGTACTAATATTATATTGGTCTGTTTTGCTTTTCTATCTGGCATTGAAGATGAAATCTTGGCAAAGATATTTAAAACGAACTATGGAAATAAGTTTTGAAGACAATAAAATACATTAAAATATAACATAATGTTATTGATTAGGTACAATTTGGATTATAGATTATAACTACAAGGTAATAAGACCCCAAATCTAAATAAATAAATAATATATGACATTTCGGTAACAACGTTGCTACCAAAACGTCACACACTATTTATTTATATGGATTTGGTCTTATTACCTTGTGACCATAATGTTATTGTTAATTTGTTATTTCAAACACAAATAATGTAATATATTTTTCTCTCAATATATAATAAGTATTTATAAATATGTATATAATAATGTATATATAAATTGTATTTATTATTAAGTTATTAATGTGATAATCCTGTTGAAGGACTGACAAGTCCGAAAGATTGAAAATAAAAAGTTGTACAAGAACCCTGGAAGCTTCATTTATTTTATAATAATGTTATTGTGTCAAAATTCGAAATTATTTTAAAGGCGTAAGATTCTTTTTGAAAATAAACAATTTCTACTGGCGAAACCGCTGGAAGGGTTCACCACTGATGAGCCAGGCCCTCCCATTAATTTTTCCATTGCAGTAAGGGCAGTAGAAATTGTTTATTTTCAAAAAGAATCTTACGCCTTTAAAATAATTTCGAATTTTGATAGCAGATGGCGCGCTAGTGCCTCAATGTTATTGTGTATTAAGTCCGAAACCATGGTAAATAGATTGGATTTTTGTCGGAATTTTCTATAACTGGTGTTGTGGCACATTCCATTATGTACTGGGGTAAGGAAACAATTGCATTGTTGTAATGCATTTTTAAAGGGAGAGGTGCCTTTCTTGGTACCTACAAATATGAATATCAGCTTTTCTTTTCCTCAAACAATTCATAAAGGCCTTTTCGACTTAAGCATAATGTTACGCAGACTTTGACTTCATCATCATCGGGGCTGACGTCACACTACTACGCTTCAGACTTTTCTGTTTTGATTTTTCGCTCGCTTGTTTTTACAACATTTGTATTGGAACAAGTTGTTCCTTAAATATATATATGTGGTATAATTATAGGTGGGTAAAGAGAAATAAGGACACCACAAGTTTGGAAGAGGAATCCCAGACAACCAGAGAGAGAGAGACGGGCCGGGCGGCCGTTTGTGTCGAATACAATCACCTACTGTCCTAAAAGTCCCAAGGTGTTGACGGCCCCATTTGCCTCCCCTTGGAATGTCGCTGCTGTCTCAATTGACCGGACTTTACATCCCATCTCTCTCTGGGTTGGCTCTAGGTTTGCTTTGTTATTCCTGGAAGAGTATATATTATGACATATATATATTAGTTTATATCAAATGGGATGTTCTCGTAACTTCAAAATAAGTGAGTACAAAACAACTTGGAATCTTTAAATAGAAACATCGTATTTTTGCTATCACATAGTACATTAGCCCGCCATCTAGTGTTAGAAGTATTAACTATTTATTAAACTCTCCAGTATATGAAAAAAATGTGAAAAAAGTGAAATTTTACTGGGATCAGGTGAATAAATTAATAAAAGAAGGCATCTCCTGATTGTGCAAATAAAAGTTACTGATGGCTTGCGCCATCTGTTGGAATAAATATCAACTATTCGTCGATTTTTTTAAATTTCCAGAATTGACTAAATGATTAATCAAGAATGGGTATTAGGCAAATTCTGGAATAATTTTTGAAAAAATCAACCAATAGTTTATATTTATTCCGATAGATGGCGTAAACCATCAACAACTTTTAGTTACACGATTGGGAGATGCCTTTTTCTCCAGTATATGTTGGCGTGTTGATACATTGGATTTGCATATGTGTTTGTCTGTGGGAGAAAGTGTCAAGTACTCAGGAAGATCCTGTTGTCAGTTTGTGGAGGATTGTCTGGTTTTAATTTGCATATTTCATTTGATATTTATTTCGAGTATTTATAAAGCCGCGCCATCTGTAGTCATAAATATGAACTACTAGACGAATGACCCGGGCAACGCCCGGGTTTACACGATTAAATGTATTATTCAAACACATTAAACATAGCAAAATAAAACATAGCAAATATAGCAAGAGCGGTTATTTTAAACGGCGAATTATGTAAATATGTGAAATAGTTATAAATTAGAAAAACTGTAAATATAGCTAAGGACTTGCATTGTAATTAAAAAAAAACTTCTCGTCTAGAACGCTAAAGCGACCTGCCGGCGGCGCGCGCCCGTTGGCTGCCGGCAGATCGCCCGCGTTCTAGAGGGCGCTGCTCGTGAGCAAAATAGAATAATTTGAATATATAGTTTTAATAATTGATTTATATATTTTTTTAAAATAGCCTATCGTCATCCCCGTTATTTTTTACCTATGTATGGAAATTTTGGTTCGAATTAGTGAACTACTGCGAATTTGTATACAGGTCATACAAACTAACAAACCAACAAACAGACAAACATACAAACATTCATTTTTATATATATAAATATTTACATACTTTTTTTTAAACATAAAAACTTTTATAATAAGAATTTCAAACTATTTTAGACGCGTAAATTTAATTTTTAAATTAAGTTGTATCTTTTACCATGTATATCGGGATTGAGACATTAACTCTGATAGACATTACAGTGACCTTTGTTGAAGACACACGAGATAACATACACTCATGGACAAAACTTAAGGAAGTTGTACCTTTTAGCATGTATATCGGGATTGAGACAATAACTCTGAAATATATTACAGTGACCTTTATTGAAGACACACGAGATAGCATACACTCATGAACAAAACTTAAGGAAGTTGTACCTTTTAGCATGTATATCGGGATTGAGACAATAACTCTGAAAGATATTACAGTGACCTTTATTGAAGACACACGAGATAACATACACTCATGAACAAAACTTAAGGAAGTTGTACCTTTTAGCATGTATATCGGGATTGAGACAATAACTCTGAAAGATATTACAGTGACCTTTATTGAAGACACACGAGATAACATACACTCATGAACAAAACTTAAGGAAGTTGTACCTTTCAGCATGTATATCGGGATTGAGACAATAACTCTGAAAGATATTACAGTGACCTTAAATGAAGACACACGAGATAACCAAGTGTAAACAACCTCTGTCTCCTTCAAAAAGTTAAGTTAGCTTGCGTTATTCGAGACTAAATGATCTCGTGCAACTTCAGACGTGAACCAGGAGTTCTCCAACGATCACAGACAGACGCCCAGACCTCTTAAACAAGATTTATTAAAAAAGTTGTTATCGTGAGGACAAGTTGGTTGTGCCAAGTTTCACTGCCAGACTGCCACTGTTTTGTTGCAATCACATGACTGTCTGGCTTCATATAACCTGTTTCACACATTCCGTAATACCTTGGCTGAAACTGTGTCGTCGGTTATACACATTCACTATCTTCGGAACTCCGCCTTTGCCGGTCCCAAGCCCGGATGTAAAAGGAGGGGGAGCAGTAACAAGCTCACTAAAAAACCTGGGTTCAGCTGGCCATGCTGATAGTACCCTGTAAGGTCTCCAGAGACACAGGATGTACTCCATGTTAGGAGCAGCTGTACATGGTGTCTGTTCCTATTGTCAGAGGCGGCCATTTATTTTGGAGCTAAGTCAGTGGACTGCCACTGAGTAGTGCTCCCAGTCCTAATGACATTCTACTTCACCCAGTGTGGAGATAAGAAAGAAGAAGAAGACTTCGGAGTATCTTAAACTATCCGTGTTATACTACCCAGGCTCTACTGGCTAGCCGGCCTGGGTTGGGTCAGCTTGGGTTAAGTTAGCTATGTGGTTGGTAGACGGATGATCTAAACCGTTGGTTTTCGATCACTACGACACGGGTTCGATTCCCGTATTAGGCACTTTTTTCTGATTTAAGAAAAATGCTCCAATGGACCCCGATTCTTGCAAAATTCTAACCCCACCAACGAGTGCAAGTAACCAAACGGAGCTCTAGCACATTTGTAAGTGCAAAGTCAAACTTTTCACATATGTAGACATGTGGTGCACTTACAATAAAAGCAATCATCTACTTCTACCCATCATGATTATCCTGGTCTGTACCACGTCTACTAGAGATAAGAAAAAAAAGCTTGGGTTAAGTTAGTTTGGGTTAAGTGGGCTTTGAATGATTGATTGAAATAGCATCTGCGGGTGCAGAGCAATGAGGTATTTTAGAACGACATTTTAAAATTATCCCGCATGCGTTTCTTTTGAACTAAAAATCGAAATTTATTTTAAGGAGAAATAACGATTTTTTCTAACCTTATGGATGAAGTATGAAAGGATGAATTGTGAAGAGTAATGATAAACGGAAAAATAATAATTTTCAAATGTCGTTCCACAATCATAAGCCGCATTATATTATATTGTATTATAAATTACTTTATATAATATTTACGAACGGAAAAATATGTCCAGGATAGCCTAGTGGACATGGCATCTACCCGGTAAACAGAACACTGTGGGTTCGATTCCTATCCTTGAACACTTTTATTTTTCCGTTTATCATTACTCTTCACAATTCATCATTTCATACTTCATCCTTAGGGTTAGAAATTATCGTTATTTCTCCTTGAAATAAATTTCGATTTTTAGTTTAAAAGAATCACATGCGGGATAATTTTCAAATATCGTTCTACAATCAAAAGCCGCAGTATATTGTTGAACTATTTTGCCATGGTCCTAAGTGGTCTATAGTCTGGGCCATAGGTCACATCTACATCACATGGTTTCTATGATCCAACATCATGGCGCCACTACCACAGACTCCATCTAGGGATCTACACATCCTGTGACGGCCTACACGTCATCTCCAGACAAGGTTGGCACTTGTTCAATCGGCCATCTTGTCTGCCAAGTCATAATTTGCCACTTTTTGGTGACTTTGGAAATTCTTTTGTCACAGATTGGAAAACTGCGCACTAGGGTATCAGCCATCACAGATAAAGATATTTTGACATCTCAACCCTAAAGAATACCGAAATGGTGTCATCATGCAGAGGAACAACGGTCAAATTTGTCTATATTCTATCCATATCACAGATGTCTGTCTACTCTGCTTCAATGACATTACAACATGTACAATACACGCGTGGACAATAGGTATGTTTTATAATATACTAGTAGAAAAGCCTGTCCAAGGACGGAATCGGCTAGAGCAGGTGGATTCCTAATTCTATTTCTCACATTCCTTTTTGATACTTAATAATATGTAATCGGAAGCGTTCGAGGTAAAATAACGTTCATGGTCCGTCAGGGATCGATCCCCTTCCGAGCGTTGCAACATTTTACCTTTCGGGTCATTTTATTGATATTTTTTAAATTAACATTTTTACTTTAAAAGAGGTGAACTTACAATGAATAAATTTCTTTGTAAACAACATTTTTGGTGAAGCAAGCTGAACTATTTTCAAGAAGCCTTCCTTGCTTGCTTCCGTGGATTATTTTTATTTTAACACACTTAGAGCTTTTCACCCTAGAAAAAGCAACATATAACTGACCATGGCTAAAACTGGTTCAGGTAAATAGATGCCAACCATTTCAAGGGTTTGGCCTTGTGATTTATTTATTGTCATAGCGAAGGCTAATTTTACAGGGAACTGTCCCCTTCTGAGAATGAAAGGAATCTCAGAATGTATTGGGGCCAAGTAAACTCTCGGAATAAATACAGATTGATCTACTGCAGTGCCAGTCCGAACTTTTGCAATAATTAAATTAGGTAACAATTTAGTTACTACTAATCTCGTCCCGTTACAAAGACCTCGCTTTGTGTTTAAGTTTCGAAGAAGCATTATGATTGCTCCAATTTAAACGTCTTTGTCGCTGCTGTTCAATACGACGTTGCTTTGCTTCGATGGCCTCAACAATAGAAAGGGCTCTTTTAGGAGCCATTGTTTATAAAATTAAAATAATCAAGCTAAATTAAAAAAATAAAATTATTTTAAAAATATTATTCCTCAAATATTCACCGAATAAATTGCCGAAAGCAAAAAATGACTAATAAGGTCAGAATAGAATAAAATAAAGGAAGAAAACAAAAACCAAACAGACCTACAGCCGGCCACGTCACTTAAGTGGGGGGGGGCGGCCAAGCCAATCAGGTTTGAACACGTCACACAGAATGGACCAATCCTATTCGGCTTCAACGAACAGACGCTTTATTATATGTGATATTGTTGCATCAATGATTGGTTATTGGAGCGAGAGAGGACCAAGACTGCGGATCACGACCTACGAGGAAGACAACAAATAAATAAACACAATAACTTTAAAAGGTAATTTATTTACTTTTCTTTATTTGCTTTAAGTATGGAAAACCGCTCGGGAAACGTGTATAACACCAAGAAAGAAATCAAGGTCGATGACCCTGCAAAGCTGCAACTTGGTGCAACAATATACTAAGTGACAACCTGTAACCCCAAAACACATCATTGACTGTATTGACTCATCTATTGATGAGCTCTACTCAGTATCCCCAGCCACAGACACCATCAACAAGCTTTACAAGCTTGATACCCTGATAGGATTGAGTGGAGATAAGAAAGAAAAAGACAAATCCCCAGCCACAGACACTATCAACAAGTTCTACAGACTTGATACCCTGATATGATTGTTGAGTGAAGATAAGAAAGAAGAAGACTCTACACAATGTCACCAATAACAGCTGAATAAGGAAGACGTGTGACAAACGACGTCACAAATGACAGAGGGAATTGTCAGCAGACGCTCACCTCTGTTCTATGTAAATTAGCGAGAGTGGAATATTCCATGACGTCACAATGGCTGCCGGCATTCTCCCTCTAGTGTTGAACTCTAGTAACGTTAATTATAACACAACATCTATATGTAATAAATGGAAGCTTTAATGTTTATTTTTACATATAAAACAAACTTCTATATATCAATGCAAATCAATAACATGACATATATACAGGGTGATCCAAAAGTCCCGCACAACTTTAAAAATTAATAACTCCGCGAATATTTGCGCTAGAGCAATGCGGTAAACACCATTGGATTCAGGATGCAATGGGATTTTTTATGGCAAATAATGAAAAATCCAAAATTGATTTTAGTTACAACTTTATTCGCTAGAGATGGCGCTCTACCAGAATCAGAGATTCAGCGGGCAAATTGTTTGATAAATTGAAAAATATAACTGAACGACACGTATTTTTCTTTTTTGAATACCAGGAAAGAACCCTAATAATATCAAATGATAAATTAATAAAACACCATTTCGCCAAAAGTTAGAAGAAATGGTTAACGATTTTAAATACAATCTGAGATATGTAAAATAGGTAAATGCAAATTAAAACATGTAGCAAAAAATATCTATATTTTAGATGGGGTTTTATGAAAAAAATTGAATGTTTGAAAAACACTGCTGATATCAATACACGATTTTTTGAAATGTTAATATAGTACCAAAAATTATGATGGCATTACTAATAGGATTTCGTGCTATAAGGAATGTGTAGTTTTTTGACTAATTGTCGACATTTGACTATTTAACTGGATATTTGTCATGATCCAAAAATGAAATATAGAGGGGAGTGACAAAATATATTTGTCGTACTTTATTCCAAATATCCTATGGGTTTGTCAAATGTTATCATTGTTTATTATACTGTACATAATTTTGAAAATGTATCCCCTCAAAAAAAATCATTTTTAAATCGACCTTTTGCGTTGAAAAACGTGGTAGTAAAATCATTTTGTAATATTTTTTGCGCGAAATTTCTAAAGTTGTTGGGGGGGGGGGGGGGAGGATAAAGATAATATTCCTTATGCTATTTCTTCTAATGAGCGAAAAGCGATAAACTAAACATAAGGGGTAAAATTGTGTATACCAGTGTTATTCTAGAAGTTATAACACTTTGGCCTGCACGACATAATATCGTATTAGGTCACAATCCTTGCTCAATGTGGCACCCTTCATTCTCAAACACCGCCTGCAGACGATAGATGACAGAATGGTCACAATTAAATAGTTGAAATTTATAAAACGTGCCATCTGATAGAAGCCTTCAACATGGCCAATGTGGTAGGCCGGCATCGATAAAAACGCGACTTAATGTACCCCCATAACCGAAATTTTAGGGCGTCAAGTCTGGTGATATTGGAGGCCACTGGTATATAAAGTGGCGACTTATCAACGAATTTCACCGAACGTATCCTTCAGCAATTGTTTGGCACCGCGGGAGATATGAGGAGGTCCTCCATCTTGCATGAATGTTATTTCGCTTAGTGCTTGTCTGTCCTGCAATATGGGAATAACCTTTTCTCTTAAAAGTTGAACATTACGTTCACCAGTTACAAAAACGGTTTTAAAAGTTCTTCCATTGATATTTTCAAAGAAAAATGGCCCAATAATAAAAGAAGAAGTGAACCCACACAAAACTGTAATTCTGGGCTGACGAAGTGGTATTTCTGTAAATATCCTAGGGTTTTCTGTTGCCAAAATGAGGCAGTTTTGAATGTTAAATTCTCCCTTTAGATAAAAGTGAGCATCATCTGTTCTTAGAACATTTGACAGCCAGTTTTCATCAATATCAATTTGCCGGAAAACCCATGCAGCGAATTCTTGACGCTTCTCAAAATCGCTGACTTTCAACTCGTGAAAACTTTGAATTTTGTTAGGGTATTTTTATAGAAAAATTCTAAATATGTGTTCTCTCCAAACTGTTCCATACGAAATCCCCGTTTGTCGAGAAACTTGTCTAGCACTTACTTCTCCATACGTGGATAACGTTTCAATAGCTTCAGCATTCTGCAAAACCGTAACAGCCACTGACTTGCATGTCGATGGTCTTCCACTCCGAGGTTTTGCTTCCAGAGATCCAGTTTCCTCAAAACT